GCCACTACATATACTTACTTTGTCTAGTGCAGCCACAAAACCAGCATCATTGTTGAATGCAGACATGACTAAAGCATTATATTTCTTATGGACATCCAACACTGTCTGTACATACATTTTTGGATCCTGCAATAAAGAGAGATTGTTTTTTGCAACCCATTGACTTTCTGCTTTCTAATTCCTCCAAATGGAGCTACTCACTGGCCTAAGCAAATTTTTATGGGGAAAGTCTACAAAGTATTAGAAATACTTTAAAGGTAAAATAGTATCCAGACTAGTTTAGGTCCTATGTCCAGGACTGACTTACATTAGCACAAGCTTTCATTTACAGCAACCAGAGGGCAGAGTGTACTACATTATATAGTACAAACGAAGATAAAACCACTTAACCATTGCAAACATTTCTAAGGACATTTTCAAAGACATAAGCTTAATTCGAATCAGACCCGAGAAAGCTGGACAATCGTAAAATGGCAGTTGCCGTTGAAGAAACCTTCAAAATAAATCTCTGTAGTAAGAACGTAACAGGTGTATCCCCCAATGGGTACAACTTGGTACAGAGACCTCAGTCATTGTTGACAGTTCCTAAAAATTATCCGCTCAACACCCAGTGGCAGCCAAATGCCAATAAACATCAAGTTTATGGCACTCACAGACTGAGTCCTATGTGCAATTACTGATCTCTGCATCTCAATAAAGGTGGAGTGGAGCCAGAGCAGGAACAGTGAAGGGCAACTAAAACACCAGGCAGACAGGGCACCTGCTATACAACAGACTAAAAAGGCTAGAAGCCTTCAATTTGGAGATCAGAAGTTTTTGAAAGGGCATATGACCAAGGTTTACAAAATCAGGAGGATGACTGAAAAGATGAATGATCACTAAAAGCCACATTTTATAACTATAGGGCACTTGATGGAAGTGATAGGAAACAAGTTTAAGAGAGATAAAGAACATCTTTACATATAAGGTAGTGGACTTCTGGAACTAGCTGCCACAGGAGGCTGTTGGAAGCAGATAATATCAGCAGGTTCAAGAACGTATTAGACAAACTCATGGACAACAGGTCCATAAATAAAAATTAAAAGGACTGGGCATGGAGGTACTCCTGTAACATTCCTATCGTAAGAGTTCTGGATGTGGGCAACAAATGGCAAAAGATGGGCAGGGTCATATCAGGATCCTGAAAAACTTTTCCTGTTGCCACTGAAGACAGACATAGACTACATGGACCGCTGATCTAATGCCGTGCTTGAGATAAAGAACTGAGATTATTGAGAACCTCACAGACAATACATTCAAGTGGACTTGAAGGACATTCAGAAAAGCATCTACTGATTACAAGGACTCCCAAAAAAAATAGCCAAAGGTACAAAAAGCAGTAATCTTGTGACTGAAGAGCAGTCTCGTTAATATAGTTAATGGAGTCTAGAGCACAACTCATCCTGCAGTAAAAAATCTAAAACAGGTCAGATGAGTCAAGCTGGTATGACTATTTCTCTCCACTGACTACAGAGAAACTGAGAAGCATTTGGTTAGCTGATTATGTATTTAGACACAGTACAGATAAATGAAGTTAGGCAGAATCAATCCTACCTAAGGCAATGATGAATAGTAATACAGTGGTGTGAAGGATATTGGAAGAAGAGGCAAGATGGTTCCCAAGAAAGACAGCCAGAGATACCGTTATGAAAATGAAGAACAAACGTGTGGAAAAAGGAACAAGACAGGAAAAAGAAAAAAAAAAAAAGAAGAAACAATAAAAAGTGTCATGATCAGGAAGAGTTTTGTAAACAGCTGGAGTCAAAAGAATGGATACATATAAATCTCAGGCTTCCCCTCCCTCCCTCAAAGATGAACTAATTCCTACAGAAAGAGCTTTCATTTTTCTGGGAAATTCTTCAAGGCCTAAGTGCAAAGAAACTCAAGAGTGATGACCACTAGGGGGATGTGTCAACCATGGAACACATCTGATTTCAAAATTTAAGGGGACGTCTACAAATGAAGCTGATGATTCCTGAATTTAATGATTCATAAAAGATCAACACTGCTAAAAAGCCACGCACTTAAAACTATAGAAGTGAACAACAGATGCTACACACAGGTAAAGCATTTTAATCTAGCTAAAAAATAAAGTTTTTACTGTTCTCCATGCAGTCATTACAGATTACTGCTTTAATGATTACTATGGAGCTATTTCAAGAATATATGAGGCCAACAGCAGGTTAAAATGAACTCTGTCAAAAATCAAAGTTAAACCCCATTTTAAATAAAATTTACCAGAATCTATATTATATCCTAATTTTGCTTTGTGCAATGTTTCGCTCTTTTTTTTTTTTTTACTAGAAAGTGTCATATTGTCTAGAGCAAAGGGTTTAAATAACTTCATGTTGCTGAGGTTCAACCCTAATCAATACAAAATTAAGTCTGAAATTACAGTTATGGGATAAAATCAAGAAAGCCAATTATATGGCTAAACAGCCACAGTGTTGCAGAAGACCTGACTTGCTCCTTATATTGTGACCTCTTCAACTGTTTCAGTTCTCTCTTTCTCTTACATTTCTCTTGCCTTTCCAAATAGAATAAAGCCATTCACCAAAAAACTAAAACCAACAGAAACATTCTCCACACAGTCCCATCCAAGTCAGAAGCCTATAGGATGATGGAATAAAGTACAGTCCACTGGAGGATAATGCTTCTAGAAACAGTGGACTTTCAGGAGTATTTTTAAGTGTAGGATGTTGTACTTGCACAGCCAGCTTTCCAAGCAGCGTGACATCCTGACAGAGAACAAAAACTCAGAAGGAAAAAAAAACCCAAACAAAACAAAAAACCCCAAAGCTCAAAGAGTAGTAACACTGTGATGTGACTTCTGTTTTAAGCCTATTATCCACATTTGAGAATTGCCTAGTCCTCAGAAATCAAATCAGTGAGAGGGAAAACATAAGCAAACTGGAAATTATATCAGGAAGCATTTACCCTCCTCTAAGGTAAAACTGGCAGCAACCACACACAGACTTATTTTGATGGGATACTTGCATTTAGAGCAGCTTCTCCACATTTCTCAATTGCAGCTAGACCCTGATTATGAATGTGGGTTTCCAAAAGTTTTTTCAGCTCTCCAAGGCCATCCTGGATTCGAGATACAAGGTTATACATGCGTCCCAAGTCTGGAAAAAAAAAAAAAAAAAAAAAAAGGAAAGCCAACACCTCCCATTTGTACTAGCTATTACTCCAATTTCTCATTTGGAAGTTGCCAATAGGAGTTAAACATCCATCATCAACAAGAACATACATGCAATTACTCCTGCAAAAAGTCAGAAAAAACTATAGCAAAAAATTATACAGTATAGCAAATCTTTGCACTAACGTGGAAAGCTAAGACTAGTTAAGGAGAAAACAACTTGTTAAATACTAAGATCTGTTTTACCTTCACAATGCTACATAAATCTCAAGAAAAAAACCCACCAAACTTACAGAAATATATTTATTTATGATTTCTAGTTTTCATAAATTTAAAGACATGCAATGATTTAAAAATTGAGTTAAAACCCTCTTATTTACATGAAGTTTTGAAGTGTTACCATGAATTAGGACTGTCATTAGTGTTACTGCTGGCCGTGCTAAGAGTACAACATGCTCCAGCTCACCACCATCCTTTAAATCTTACTCTGAACAGGACAGGTCTCAGAGATCTAACACCACCTGTAGCCTTTTGTATATTAACACTTCTACTTGGGGCAGCACCAGTGGTAACAGTTGGAAATTCAATCCAAAATGTTGCCTATTGATATGACCTTAGATAAACCAAAACATTATAAACCAAAATTTCCTCCAATAAAGCACTGTCAATAAAGCTATCTCCTAAAAAAACATCTAAGTGACTGATTACCAGTAGAAATAATTACATCTCTAGGAAAGAAAAGGTTCTGAAAAGCATTACCACAGAACAAAACTAACGCAGGTAAAAATAAATTGGACATCATTTCACATATGTTAAAGCTTCATGCTAAAATCTCACCAGTTTTCAGCCAAGACTTTCCAAAATCAATTAGTAATTTTGGAAAGTCTAATATTGAAGAGGGTTTTGGTTTTATTATTAATTTTCAACAGGGCAGATGCTTTGTACAGAACTTTTTTTTTTTAAAAAAAACAAACTAATTCTAATATGGTCATAAACCAGGTACACAAATCTACTAGTTAACTCTTGTAATCTTGCTCTCACAGGCACTCAAGTGAAACAGTAAACAACCAAATTAGTTACTGTAAACTAATGAGGATATTTCACTTGCTTGAATCCATCTTAAGGATGTCAGCTGCATCTAGCACTTCTAAAGTGTAAGGACTTCTCTGAAGGGCTTATGAGCAATTTATTACCACCTGAGGATTATCAGATTAAATAAAACAGAGCAATCAAGCAGCTGTATCGCTACTTAACTCTGAAATACAACACACAGAACTTGATGCGTTTAATACCAAAGCACTGATGCCTCTATTCAGACTTGTTCCATATAATGCTTTCCATTCCTTAGAACTTCATCAAGCTTAAACTTCTGGATTTGAAAAGCAAACATTTTTTCCTCTCTGAAAACCACATTTGCAACCTGATGTTAAACTTTTATAACAATGTAAGAATGCTGTTTTTTCACCTACAGAATTTTAGAGAAAAAATAGGAAGATAATGCCATGCGTAGATATAATAAGCTGCTGCTACACCTACCCACAAATAAGGGTTCACAGGGTGGTCTATCAGGATGTCTGTATTTGGTGAAATATGGAAGAGATGCTACAAAGCCTCGAGGAAGATTTACGCAGTAACTCCACCTAAATCATTACAGCCTGCTCCCAATAAACATAATTATTTCCTACTGATGTGAATAGGTAACTCATGACAAACGTGCCCCACAACCTTTATAACTAGTTGCACAATGCAATTAAAAAGTTACAGAACACCAACAGGAGTGGCCTGTAATACAATATGCTTAACACGCTTCACATGGGAGGACCTCAAAACCAGTGTACTTTCAAGAGCAAAGCAAAAAAGATTTTAATCGAGAGCAAGATCTTATTATAAGTTTCTATAAGGACAGTCTACAATAGGCTATTTTAGTGTATTACAAATTTGAGAGCGAACTGATTATAGCGATTAAAGAATGAATTCTCAAAGAATCTTTCAAAAGAAATGTTTCTAATCTTCAGACTTCATGAAACTTAAAAAGGGCCAGGGAACTACTGCAATTTGCACAAGTGAAGCCCAATAAGAGAAAAGAAAATATTTCAAAAAAAGAAGGAAACAATCAGGTATTTTAAAATACCTAATTAATCTTAGAAATAACCCAAATGAAAGTAAAACCAAAGACATATAACAAGATGGTGCCCGAGACACAAGGTCCTTTTCCTTTTTGACCCTGACAAACTTATGGAATTGCATCACTATGTGATACATCACTTATCACAGTAAGTGACTGTATTAAAGGCTCACATAACCCATGAGCTTGATAAAGTAAGGGGAAAAAAGAAAAGCCTGTGAAGGCCTCCTGAGTCCAGAAAAAATTCCATGTTTGTGCTATTACAATTTCTATTGTTAGGAGACATTTATAAAGTAATTTTACTAGTCAACACCCACCTGTATCAAAATCTCTTCCAATTACAAAGTAAATACATTTATTTACAAAAATAAACAACATTTGACTCTTAAATACTAGTACAGAATAACAATCTTCTATTTACGTTCAAAACGGGTAATGTCTGACCTGCTAATTATGCTGAATTGCCCTTTTCTAATTTGAACGATCTCTTAGTTATCAACATGATGATTACAGTAATTATTCATAGTTGCTTTTTCAAGGTTGATATATAAAGAGACAGAGTCATAGCTGCAATTCTCAACTCTCAAACTAACAGTATTATCAATAGTAACTTAATCATAGTATCTCTCAAATTCTGTCACTTTCTTAAAAGCAGTATTTCAGCTATAGAGCCTTACCTTGACCTCCTATATAGATTTAATTAATTCCCCAACTGGAAAAATCAGAAACACCATTCATCCTTATCACCTGCACGATGCACAGGAATTATCTGGCCCTAGTTTTGACTGTTGTTTTGTGCCAAGCATTAACTCCCGAAGAAGCTCATAAAAAAAATACAATTGACAATTCCTTAAAGATACCTAAACCCTTTGATAATCTTTACTTATTTTAGAGGAACCGCTGAAGAAGTTTTTATTCTATATGTTCTCTACAAAGGTATAATCTTGATCCATTAGTGGCACTTATGACTCATTTTCACAGCTAAAATTATCTCATCAATTAATAATTTCCACCCTTTCCTTGTGCTCCATATGCAGTTTTATATATTTTATCTACTATATTTTAGAAGCTCCTTATTTGCTTCTATTTCTCTTTTAACATTTCTTGTACATACTTCTAGGCAACTTGGATTTTAAAATTCTCACTGCTGACTCAGAAAGATCCATGGCTTGAACTGAAACAGCTGGTAAGACTACTGGTCTGTTTTTCGTCTCACATCTCTCTCATGCAAGCTGCAGCTCGTGCTTGAAGGATGGCTCAAGCGCTCTTGAAGCTCTTCCAGCCATGTTAAGAGAAATCAAAATTAGTGCTGTTTTGTCTTAATATTTGGGATCGGAATAGGCTTCTTGAGGCCATATCCTCAGCCATCCCAATTTAATAAAAAGCTGCTTGTCAATCAATTTATTGTCTGTCTTCTCTCTTAATCTAATTCCTGAACAAATCACATTTAGCTATCACCAGAATTCACATTATTCACAAATCATCAGGGAGGAGCTCTAAGCCTAAAACCGATGTTTGAATCTCCTTACCTTCATTTTTATCAGCATCCAGCAAATTCTGAAACTCTGTATGAAATATCTCCAGGTGTTTTTCAATAAGTACTTGCTCACATTTTCGTGCTAACTCATCTTGTGTGCTCTCATGGAGATATACCTGAACTCTACGCTGTTCCTCAAGAAGGCGAGCTTCAGCCTACAGAACAGAGATAAACATGAAACCTTTACAGAAGGCAGAACAGAAATGCAACAGCAGAAAACAGATGACTATTTAGTAAATTCATCTAGCAAACAAGGACAGAAATCAAACCTTTCACTAATGCAGTGTTATGGTCCACCTACTTAAGCAGTTATTTTTCTGGGAATCATAATATACACATGGAACCGATGTTTATGTTGATGATAATATTATATACTGTTTAAACGGGGGTGGGGGGGGAAATCACAGCAATATTGTTTTCCCCTTGTTTCTGAATAAGAAGTTTACAGATGGAAATCTACTGTCAGAAAAAAAGAAAGCTGCTGATATGAGATGCTGGCAGTTTTAGCATCAGCAAGCTCTCTAGCTACAGAGGTAGTTTTGTTTAAGACAAACATGAATATATTTCATGCCTCCACAAAACTAAAAGGCAGAAAACTACAATTTAACAGTATGCCCATGACAAATTTATTTGAATGTTCTCACCTACATTCTTACACAGAAAAGCTTCCCAATAACCTACAATCGTTTAGATTATACTAGCATTTAATTTGGCATATGAAATGCTACACATGCGTATCTTCCCGGCAAATCAAAATTCTAAATGACACTCGAGGAAGAGTACTTATGCCAAAATGTAAAACTGAAGTTGTTTATATAACAATTACCTCTATTTTGTTTACAAGAATGTTAAAGATTCGCTTCACAAGCCATCTGTAATTGCAGCCCATTATTAGGGATTAAGTGCATATGACCCCTTATCAGTCAAAATTATTTAAATGAATAATGTAACCAAGAGAAGGAAATTAAATTAATGCATTTTCCTAGTATTTCAGAATATCGACTAAGCATGAAAGATCGTATTATGGACAACAACAACAAAAAAAGAGAACAATTTCACTGCAAGTACACTGCATCATACAGACAGCTTTAAATAATCCCTGCCACTGTTAGCCTCACTCATTTCTGTAATAATTTTGCACTTAGCTCTTGTGAAATGGTCCTGGATTACTGTCTCCTAGAGTTAAACCAGTACAGGTCAAAATATGGGAAACAAAATCAACGGTTTGGGAAGGGATATAAGCTCATGCTTCAGAGTACTTGCCAGTTTCTTACCAGTAAGGAATAACAATTGACTTCCTTAATGACAGCAAATGGCAGCAAATCTTTCTGATGAACACTGGAAACCAGAATCAGACTAGTAGGACTACTTATCTTACATTTAACCAATTCTGTATTTTTGCAGTTCAGGAAATTCTGCCACTTCTAACGCTGCTTCTTAAAATATCCTTAGATCTTCACTTTTAATGTTAGCAATCAACTCTCACTTTGAGCTCCTTTATGAAAATGAACGTTCACTCTGACTTCAAATTTGCTTATACTCTCTCACTTTTTCTGTTCTTATAATTCCATTTTCCTTTTAAATTCGTATTTCAGAAACAAGGGAAAAATAATTAGTTTACACAACAGTATCTTTGGCTTGTTTTAACTATAAAGATCAAAAGTCCAGTTTGCGACTTTATTTCAAGGGACAGTCTTAAGAAATACTGACCTTTTTCCCTAC